GGCGTGCTGCTCTTCACCGTGGGCTTCATCGTCGTGTCCTTCCCCTGCGGCTGGGGCTACATCCTGCTCAACGTGGCCGCCGGCTACCTCTACGGCTTCGTGCTGGGCATGGGGCTGATGGTGCTCGGCGTCCTCGTCGGCACCTTTGTCGCCCACGTGGCCTGCAAGCGGCTGCTGGCCCGCTGGGCGCGGGCCAGGATCCAGGGCAGCGACACGCTCAGCGCCATCGTCCGCGTCGTGGAGGGCGGCGGCGGCCTCAAGGTGGTGGCTTTGGCGCGGCTGACGCCGATCCCCTTCGGGCTGCAGAACGCCGTCTTCGCGGTGAGTCCCGGCCCGGGCTGTGTGCCGCGGCGCAGCCTCTGCCTGGGGGGATAGCTCGCAGCATAGCGGCCGGTGTCGCCGGTGGAGGTTGCCTCCTTTCCCTGGAAGAAAACTTGGTTTCTTTCTCTTTTGCCAACAGTAAAAGCAGCCCCCCTGCCTGCTCTTGCTAGTGGCTCTTCCGTGCTTGCGGAGGGGCGGCAGGCAGGTTCTCGGGGTGCCTCGGTCAGTGGCATTGTGTTAAGAGTTGCTGTCTGGCTTTTGAGACTATGTGCTGGTGTTAGGAAGAAAGCGCCAAGGAGCTGTGTAGCAAAATCTGTGGAGAACTCAACAGATTTAAAGTGCTTGTGTTTTTAAAGTGATCTGAGTGGGAGGAAAAGTTGTATTTTTAAGCAGTCTTGCCAGATCTCCCTCAACTACTTAATATAAATAACCATATTGGAAAGAAAGAAGTGGACAGATTAAAATTCTTGCTCAGTTTGGTGGATGTTTGTAGCATACATACATCTAGCAAATCCATAAAGACTGTTAAGTCCATGCACACAAGAGAGGCCGTGCATTTTGGGCAGAGCGTTAAGATACAGGCTCAGAGCTGAAAAGGAACTTGGTACACTGCAGGGGTACAGAAAGTTACTTTAAACTTGAGTTTGGAAAAGGGTTGGACTTGCTGTTCTTTCAACAGTCTTTTTAGATGAAGATTGGTACATTCCTTAAGAATAATTTATTTAAAACTTGTGATACTGTTCTGTTTGATCATCTAGAAGGAGAAAGTAAAGAAGGACATGGAGGGTACTGCTTTTGAGTACCGTCATGCTGATGATGACAGTTTCAGACCCTCAGCTCTTCCCGAGTGCTTTGTCAGAAAGATCTGATTTTGGTTGTGTGTTATGCCTAGGTGTGTCTGCTAACTTGGTGAAATCAGAACAAAGCAAACCAGATTGGGAAATAATTTAAATGTTTAAGTCCTGTGTTCTTTAATGTAAGAGACACTATGAGCAAGTGTTTTGGCCTGCTACACGTTGTTATAGCAGCTCCCCCATCAGCAGTCCTGATCTTGTACCCTTCTGAAGTGCTTGCTTAATTTTGACAGAATCATCTGGTTCAAATGAGTAGTTCACTGAATACCAAGTTTGTTATTTAAGAAAAAAAATAATCCACACAATTTTTAGGGGTTAACAGCCATATCACTCATTTAAAATTGCTGTGCGTAAAACTTTGTATGCTGGGGCATTTGTCTTGGGAGCCTCAATCTCTGCCCATATAAGCTGTAGCAACGTTATCATTTCTTTTTAAGCAGATCCTTTAACCATTTCCTTGTTAGGAATGAGAAGAACCTCAGCTGTTTTATTTATTTACCTATATTACTGCAAGACTGAAGAAGCTTAGACCCGTGCTGCTGGGAGCAGAGTCTCCCCGAAGCCCAAGGTCCTGGTGTAGCATATGAAGCTTTTGCTGTAGTGCAACCCTCCTAAAGTGGGAAGAACTGTTGTGCTTCGGTTGTTCACAGCTTCTGGGTGTCACTTGAAGAAATCAGCAGATGTTGTAGAGCAGTATTGGATCTGAAGAACTGAGCAGAGAATTGCTGTGTTAAAATGATTTCCTTCCTGGCATAACCATTCTGTTGGAAAGACAGTTCAGCAGAGTATTCAGGCCAGTGCATTATTAAAATGATTCTGTAAATCAGTGGTTTGTATTCTCCAAGTAATGCAAGCTAAATAATTTTCTTTCCAAGTGGAAGGTTTCAGTGTTAAAATAATGGATAGAAAATGAGATGAAACCCGATTTTCGCGTGCGCCAAATAACTTTAATGTTGCCTGCTAAAATTAGTTTGGGTTGCATTTATTACTCTGGATTTATTACTTTGCAGCATAGTCAAATAAAGCATAGTGTGTTCAGTTTTTAACTGACCATGTTTAACATGAACTACTAGATTACTGAAAAATAAAAATGTTGCGTGCAAATCTGGGAATGCAAGGCAGTTTCTCACAGTGAGTCAAGTTTAAGCTACGTATAGAATACAAAATTCTACCTACACAGACTGAGCTGTCATTTCTTTGAAATCTGATTTACTTGAAAACGTAATGCTCTACTTACATTTAAAATGCACAGGGATTTAGGGTGCCCTAACCATCTATCCATACCCATGCTAGCAACTTCAGCCATGAATTTGAAGGGGATTGCTCTTAATAGTAAAGAACAGTGAACTTAAAACCTATGCATCTTTAATTTTCTGGCAGTCTGGTCTATGCATGTTTTCTATGTGCATATTTATAAATAAAAGAAATAGTGAGAATACTTAAATGAGAGGGAGGGAAGGAAGTGACACATGAGGTCCAGGACAAGGCATAACCTTGATATGAGAGGGGTCATCTCCAGGCCTGGGATTAGTGGGCTTCTACAAGCACTTGTTCAGTGGCGTGTACCATCTGCTGAGGGTTTTGGGGAGGTTGAATTACAGGGGAATGTAGAGAAGGAAGGAAGAGCTTCCTGGCATTTGATTAGTGATAGGATCATATCATCTGAAGCAGGACAAGAAGGAAATTAACATGAATTTCTTAGTTTCTCACCAGACAGACATTAACATTTTTCTTCTTAAGGTCATTCTGCTGCTCTTTGGGAAAGCACTGATACTAGGAGCACTGGGGTAATGCGTTTACTTGCCTTTCTGGAAGACCTAGAAACTTCTTAACTGAAAGCATGTTTGTATTTCTCTTTGAATGGGTTTTGCTTAATGGTTGCTTCTGTGGTGCCAGGATGGCTTGGGAGCTCTTACTGAAGTGTTTGCCCAGGCACAGCCCTCTCCCCTTGGCAACTCTTGAGTGTTCTGAAGGCAGGTCTGTAAGGAGTCCTGGTATGCAGGTTATCACCTCCTTCCCACTACGGGGTTTCTGGAGCTAGATTTGTGCAAATTGATTATTTGTAGTGCAAGGTGTAGCTTAAATCCGAACTGATATTTCTTCTTTCTTCTCTGAGAGGGCTATTGTATGGAAGAAATAACATGTCCAAGTGTGCGCCTCTGATTTGAGAAATGCACACGGTAAAAGCAGAGTTTGAGAAATGGTACCTGCTTTGCAGGAACATGCAGGCTGCTTATTCTGCTTGTTGTAAAGTTGCTAGCTATTTTTTTTTGTTTTGTTTTTTACTCTCTGTTTTTGTTTGTAGGGGTTTTGGTTTGGGTTTTTTTTCTCTTTTTTTGTTTTTGAGGAAGTAAAGAGAATTGTCCTTTGCTCTTGGTTGTTAAGCCTAGCTGATACGAAACACGGGATTTTGTAAGTTGAGGGGAGAGAAATCTGCTGCAATCCCCAAAGGCATCTGAGCACCCAACAAAGCCCTGACACAAGTGTTTATCCTTTCACAGGACTGAACCAAAGGTGTCAGCTGCAAAGAATACACAAACATTTTACTGGACAAAGCCTGTCCAAGGCTTAGTGGGAAAACTTCTGGCTAACACTCTTACTACCAGAGTGGATAGGTAGTTATTAATTTTATTTTGATACCATGCTATGGCCTATAACAATTGCATTGGGATTTCACTGTTAATTTTGCTGGCTTGAGGTTTCTGTAGAAAACCGGGTTCTGGTAACCTCTGTTCAGCTTCTTGGCCGTGCAGACCCCAGTCTGGCAGGTTTCTAGAGCAGGTAGAGTTTCATAGAAGGAAAGTCATGAAAGCTGTAAATTTCTCAGGTTTCTTAGGTAGGGATGCTGTCTATATCCTATGCCTTCTGGGGGAAGGGTTACCACTGTAGGTCTAAACCCTGCTAACCAGGAGTTAAAAGGGCACCGGCAATTTTTTTTTTCTTTTTAACCCCTCTCCTTGACTTTCACAGAATCACAGAATCAACTAGGCTGGAAAAGACCTTGAAGATCATCTAGTCCGACCATTAACCTAGCACTGACAGTTCCCAACTACACCTTAAGCGCTAAGTCGACCCTAAAGTTTAGTGGGAAGCACAAGTCTCAGTCAGCATGTCTGTTGGCAACCTCCCCTTCATTTGGGAACAGTTTCATGGCCTGGGATGTCCAGTTGCTTCAGGACAGATCCAGATGTGCAAACGTGTTGCTCTGCAACTGAAGTGTCCTTAATACTTACGGAGAAATGAAAGAGGTCCCTGAGAGTGTTAAAACAATCTTTGAGAAGTTTCCCAGTTCCATTAGATTCAATGACACTGTCCTACTTAGCAAATCTTGCCTCAGTGTTAGTATTTTAGAGACTTTTAATAGCATTTCCTTCATTCCCTTGGCAATATGAGAAGTTCTTGTGGTGCATTCTTATTTGCGTGCTCCAGATTACTATAATGTTTAAAATAAAAATAAATTAAGTGTTGTCAAAGCATTGGTCAGATATGAATTTCTACCACAGCTGCGTAGTGCTTTTTCATTAGAAATCTAAATTAATCTTATATAGAGAGGGAAAAATTATGTGTTAGTTGTATATATTTCAGTCTGTGGGAAGTGTAATTTGCAGTGAGAAGTTTGGAATTGACTTATTGGATCTCGTTCCAGTGAATTATCCTTAATCTTTATGCTTCATTGCATTTTCCTCCTCCACTGCCCTTCCTTCCTTCCAAAAACTTTCCACTGATGGTGCTTAGAGCTCTGAGAATTCAGCACTGTGACTTTCATAGTAACCAAAGTTTATTTTAAGAATAGCATGATGAAATGAGTAACTTTACTGCTATTCTCTTGTCTTTGACATTGTACAAAACTGTCAAGGTCAATAATTTCCATGTAGGCTCACAGTGTTAGGGGCTGTTCTTAATTAGAATGTGTTTTATTACTGTGTGATCATCTGAATTGTCTGGAAAATTCCTTAGACTGATTGTTTCAAAACTGCCCTTTTCATACTCATTTTTAACCCATAGTTTCCTCCTGCTTTCATTTTTCTTGCATAAGTATCTTTTGGCCTCGGCTTTTGCATTTAATATGTCCCAATGGCTCCTAATACTAATTTAGCTAGTACTGTGTACTTTGTTCCCATGTAAACTGTCTGTGTACTGACTCAGAACAGAAATTTCACATCAAAGAGAGGAAAATACCTTGAAGTATTATTAGTGTTTTTTTTCCAGAGAAACTAACAAAAGCTATAGCCGTATCTACTGTTTTGTTCACTAATTAAAGTGTGATATAAAGTATCTTTGGTAGAAAAATCTTAATGATACTATGTATATCACTGATAGATACAGGTAGATATTGCTGCTCAAGATCACTGATAGATATATGTATCGTAATGAGTATATAACTTCCCTTGCAGAGGTAAATCATGCCGTTTACCTAGATCATATTTGATATAGTGACATTTTGAACAATTACGTCTTTTGTTAGTTGCCATACATGTAAAAAGCAAAGGAAATAGATTTTTGCTTTAGACCTTCACATTTGATAAAGTAATTTCTTCCTGCGAGCAAATGCTCATAAATTGTAGGGCTCTGTTCACCATGAAGAAATAAACATCTTCAATGAACAGTGTAATTGCATCTTTGGTTAATGACTTTGCACAGAGATGTTGTTGTGTAATGTAAGATGAAATGAAATAAAACCTAGTAACTTTCAAGAGGTCAGATGAACACTAGCCACATACTGGTTTATTGTATTATCTTAGATTCATGCACGGTAGAAACTTCCAGTGAAGGAATGTAAAAAAAATTACTTAATTTTCTTTCATGAATGCTTTTGTGAGCGGCAGTCTGGTGGTTTATGCACCTAGGTTGTGTTGTAGCGTGTTCAGTTTCTTACGCTTTCTTTCATTCAGATTACAGATTTGTCCCTACCTAACTACCTGATGGCTTCTTCAGTTGGGCTGCTTCCCACTCAGCTCCTGAACTCGTACTTGGGCACTACCTTGCGCACCATGGAGGATGTGATTGCAGAACAAAGTGTTAGTGGCTATTTTATATTCAGTTTACAGGTAAGATAAAATGATTGCTCTCATAGACCTCGGTAACAGTAATGTCAGTCTCTTTGACTGCTTGGGTAAGCAGTCATTCTTGGAAACAGTCATCTTCTTGTGTTTGAGTTTATTTCTTTATCCCCCTAATTTCTTGCTCATCTGCTGTACCAGTGGGACTCAAGACAGGACTTTGCTTCTGGAGACAGTAGGCAAGTTTCCTTCCTGTAGCTTTGTCTCTTCAAGTCATTGAATCTTCTCTTTGGGAACTGCATGCCTGTAAGAACATGTACGAGATGTAGAGAGGTTCAGCACTGCTGATTTCTCTTTCGGACTGCACAGCCTCCAGTGTAAAAGGGGTGGACTGCAGGAAGTTTGGGGGGATGCATGTCTCGGGTTAAGAGCTGCACTCTGTTGGCATAACAGCTCCCTAGTCTGAGGCAGCCAACTCTTACAGAGAGCCAAGCAAGTATGGCATGTGGTATTGACAAGTAATAGGTTTTTAAAAGTGTTTAATTTATAACTCTATTATTGGTATTTTCAGTATATTGTGTAAAACCGAGCTGACATTTCTTCTTCACAGGCTTATTGACTGTTAGATACCTAGATAAATGGGTTTCCAGTGTACCGTTCTCTTTTGATTTTGCTTTCTTAGAAAAGTTAGAAAAGTTTTAATTCTTTCATACCTCACATGACACAAATCAGAACTTACTCAGTGTTCTCTTTTTCTCTTTGTGCCACAGTTTTGTCAAGTTTTTTTTTTCTCTTTGCCCTCTGTGGTAATTTCCTGCTGAATAGTAGACTTGTCAAACCACCAGTGTACAAAATTCCACATGTCACCAGCTTTGAAGTGGTGTGCTCAGGGTGCTTAAACCCAGCACCTATGCAGTGTTCACTATTAGCATTGTATGCTCCCAATTTTGCCTTGGTATTTAGGATGAAAAGTGCTGTAGAAATACCATTTTGCTGTTGTTGAAATCAGAATATCCAAATTTTTCAAGTGGGTAAATTAATGAGAACTATATAGTGCCTTTATGTCATCTTAGACGATGAAATAATTTGTCAGTAAATCTTGGGGGCAAGCAAGCCTTAAGTCTGAGATCATTACAAACACAGAGATTGTGTGTATTATCAGAACCAGATCATATATTAAAACCTGCTCTGACAGCATTGGTGCTTCAGGCTGTGTTTGACCAGCAGTTACCATGGTTTGCAGACTTTTAGTTGGTACTGCAATCATTTATCTTCCTCAGTTTTTACAGTTATAAAGCTGATGTTTAACAATGCTAAGATAAGTCTCAGGACTGTTTTAAACCTCCCCCCCTGCCCCAAACTTGTGTGTTCTTAAAAAGAACATATAATTTATAGACTCCATAGAACAGGCTTATGATTATTAAAAATGGCTTTGTAAATGTGGGGTGAGTAATCTTGATAGATCTATGAGAAAACAAATGGTTTCTTGATCAGCTTTCATTTTAGTTGTGAAATGTTATTTCTGGAGAAATTTTTAGTGGTCTTTCCCCTTTTTTTTTTTCCCATTAATGTTTTGGGTTTTTTCAAATGCTATTGGCTCTGCTTTGTGGCTTATACATAGGTTGTAGCATAACTGTCACTCACTAGCTGAAGAGGCTGAAAGTCTGAATAGGAGTGCTCACCTCCTTGAGAGCAGTCCTTGGGATCTGACTAAGTCAAGGGCAGCCTGTTAGTGGAGGAATTACTTATGTTCTCCTGCTTTCTTGCAGGCATCTGCCTGGTGTTTTGCCTGGCTGAGCTTTGATGGGACTTTTGATTTAATAAATAGCTCTAAAGGTCCTTCAAATTTCATGGTTGTATGTGTGTATATATTTTTAAATTATTCATCTAGAGAGCTAAGCTACTGGTAGTAGTATTTCTAAAACCAGTCAAATTTAAATATTCGGGTAAGCTTTTAGAATAGGATTTTTCCTATATATTCAGAACTTGATGTTCATAGTCTCTTTTTGACTCTTACATTGACCAGTTTTGAAATGGATAAGTTCAGTTTGTGAGGAAAATCTTTTTCACCACAAGGATAGTCAAGAAGTAGAGCAGGTTGCCCAGAGAGCTGGTGAAATCTCCATCCTTGGAAGTTTTCAAGACCTGACTGGACAAAAGTCCTGAGCAACCTGGTCTGATCTTGCAGCCCTGCCTTGAGTAGCTAGATTGGCCTCAATTACCCTGTGACCATACTTGTCAGTCATCTTACTCGGTGATATTCTAGCATATTTTATGCCATGCTGAGACATATTTTAAGTGGTAGTCTTTAATATTATTGAAAACATAGCCCTACCAATTATAATGAAGTTCAGATTTTGGACTCGGAACTTATTTTGAAAGGATGTTGCAGATCCAAGCTAGTTTCAGAAAACATTCTTAAAAAGCACAGAGGAATTTCTTTCAAAGGAACTGTCACTATGAGACAGCTTGATTTTTATTTTTTTAAGGAGGATCTCAGCTGAAAATTTAATTTAATTTAATTGAAAATTTATTGAAACCAAAGGCCACCTTTAGGGAGTGCTGTGAATGCAAATGTCATTGAGTAATTTATAAGCAAACATGTCCGGGTTTATTCCTGATAATTTTTGTGGTGAAAGTTTAAAAACTCTTGACAGTAAAATTTAGAGCAGAAACCTGATCTGAAACTGGAGTTTTGGACAATATTTTTCTCCTTAAAACAAACAAAAAACAGCACCACCACCACCCCCCCACC